GCAGACTATGCTCACGGCAAATGAGCTCATTCACTCTAAGGTCACGCAGAGAGAGAGAGAAAGAGAGAGAGAGAGAAGGCGGGGAAAGACTTGAACGGAGGCTGTACAACAATAGCGATCTCCACTTTCAGTTGTTGCCACACAGAATGAGATCGAGGAAGGATCTGTGGCGCTCCTGAGGAAAGACCACACAGTTCTTCTGCCCTTATTTCTGTGAGGGGGATGCAGTTGTTTCTTTCCTGTGGAGTTTCCCTCCAAGGTGTTGCTTTTAGGATCTTACATTTTTTTTGTTACCCAGCATCTTGCAGACGTATAGTTCTCGGACTGTGGTTTGGTGCATTCTGAGTTGGTGCGGATGCCCCTTGACGTGGTCATATCCCCTCCGGAGAGTTGCTTCTGGCCGGGGATCCAGGGAACAGACATGAGGCTCAAAATCAGAGTCCGTAAGATGAGGAAGGAACGCAAGCTTAGAGGTGTGTAGCATCTGTTGTCACCTGGACAGATGGTGCTTTCCCATCTGGCGCTATGTTTATGTCTTTTTCAGTCTTTCTATTAGCACAAAAAACTAAAACATGAACCTAGCATTGCTATTGTGCTCCTATGATAATCTGAGAGAGTAGTAGCAAATTTAAATGGACATGCATTGGGTTGCTTTAAGTATATTAACGCTGTTGCTTGGTGTGTGTGTTCATAGTTCACAGCCACACATGCTAGAGTATATTTGAGGTGCTATGTGTGTGCGTTCGACTGATGTCACCAAATAGAAGTTAAACAGTTGGACTTTGCCAAGCAATTTACTTTTATCGCAGTGACGTCTATGTTTTCGTAATGGCTTTAGGGCAGAAATGCAATAATTGTAATGGCGGCAACAGTTAATGATTCGATGATACAGGGTCCCGGGGTTTAACACTTCTAATCTGTCAAGCATGACACAAAGCGCCGGGAGTGATGAGGTAGCCACCAACCCCCTGCTGTTTTTTGTGTTCCTCATTGTGCAGCATGCATGTGTGCAATGATGTCATTGGGCCTTTATTGAGATGCAAATAAGTGAGTGTGTGCGCGGAGATGGGGACAGATGGGGGCTGCTCCTCAATGGCGTCATGTCTTCTGCATCTGGAGACTTGTGTGTGTGTGTGTGTGTGTCTGTTGGTGTGCATTAGTTTCATTCAGAGGCCCATCAATGCCGCTGGATGTAGAGCCTTGAATAGAGGCCTGTGTGAGAGTGCCTATAGAGCTCAGCTGAAAAGATGAAAAACAGAGGGGCTCCTAAAGATGGAGGTCAGGTGCCGCAAGACAATGAACTGATATCAAAGGATGGAGTTAATGAACTGTGCAACTCTGTGTTATTAAACACAAATGCATCTCGATAGTTCATGGCCATATCCGAAAAGTGTAACCTTTTTACCTCATCCTCTTTGTTGCGCAGTAGGGGAACATGGCATTGCAGCTGTAGTAGAAATTTAGGTAAGTATCCCACAAGTCTGTGGGGACCCAAGCATTATATGGCGCTTTTCCACTGCTGGTACGGTTCAGTACAGTTCGACACGGCACGGCTCGGTTCGCTTTAGCTCGGTTGCTAAGTTGGTACCGCTTTAAAGTGGGTGGGATTATAAACTGATCGATAACAGCGGTGGCTGTTACTGGCTATTTAAATCTAGCGGGTTTGGTTTCTCGTGTCGATGTCTATTGGTCGCCAATACAATGACTCTGGTACTGACTATTCTGTCTGACCAATCAGTCATCTGCAGTGTTTCACGTCACATTAGCCCCTTTTCCACCAAAGCATTTTGAGAGCCGGTTCGGAGCCGGTGCCTGCCCACGAACCAGTTCTTTGTGTTTCGACAGCCAAAGAACCGGTTCGCGGCCGGGAAAACTGGTTCCAAAGCGGCACCAACTCTTTACTGGACTAGAACCGTTCTTTTACCACGTCATGCTTACGTCGGGGGCTGGGGCGGGTTTAGATGCATTCTAAACATCTTTTCTGACCATCGCAAAGCCAGGAGAAACTGCAGAAACACGCAAGCGTTTTCATTTATTTATAAAATAAACAAAGAAGAAAACTGTCACGATATAGAACAAATAAATGGAAAGAAAAAAGACACAAGACTTATCAGAAAAGATTATATATGAAACGAAAAAAATTAAAAGACTTAGATATTTCAATTGTTTTTAAAGTTTTCTTGGTACACGTTAGAGATAATCCCAAAGCAATGTACTTGCAAGCGTTTCTAGCGACGTACACAGTGACGTAACGACGTCGTTCCCTGGGCGCTTTAGTCAGTGGAAAAACAAACAGGTTCTGAATGGGTTCGCAAGTTGAACCAACTCCGAACCAACTTTGAACCAGTTCCGAACCAGTTCTTTTTGGGTGGAAAAGGGGTAATTTAGTACCGGTACGGTACGCTTGGAACCTCAACAGACCAGCTACTATTTAAAGCGAGCCGTACCGTAACGTACCATGCAGTGGAAAAGCGCCACAAGTGAGCCGCACCGAGCCGTAACGTACCATGCAGTGGAAAAGCGCCACAAGTCCGTACCGTACCATGCAGTGGAAAAGCGCCAAAGCATGCCGTACCGAACCAAACCGTACCATACCATGCGAAACCTCTGCAATTCCAGATAAATCTTGTGGTTCCTCTATACAAGAAAGGTTATTCCACTTTCCTGTTTTCAGAGAAAATTGGATGGCAAATGGAGGCTTATGTAAGGTTTGGAGACAGAGACAAAAAAAAACATAGAGGAAGTGTGCGAGTGGCACATTGCCTTCTCGTCCAGAGTGAGTTTGACCCTGGCACACTTCTCTTGCTGAAAACACTCATGCACTCATATTCCCTGTGGTTTTGAGAAACGTCACCACTGGCCTATTACACAACTGGAGACTATAAAAGTGACTAATGTTGCCTGTTAGTGTGTGTCTGTGCATTAATGAATGGATTTGTTTTATCAGTTCTAGTCCCTCGCACAACTTCTTTAACTTTACTTATTACGGTGCAATTAATTGTTCATATCTTTGCTGCAAAGTAAAATGAGGTGTTTGTTGATTCAACTTCAGCCGTCAAGACCGATACGGAAGCTTATGGTTTCCTTGTAACCCTAACTGTCACCGCCACCACCCAGTTAGAAATGATAGCTGATGACCTCACTCAAGCATTTCCTCTCTTGGCTTTTCAACAATAATGTGCTGTACTTGTTCCTGTTTGTGTTGCTGTGGTAGAGAGACACATTTTTTTTTGAGGAAGCTATATAAAGCACCCCTCTAGATCTTCGAAGCAGGACAATATTCCAGATCCTTAAGATGAAAAGAGCAACTTGCAAAAGGAGATCAAGTCTGCTTGCCTTTTGAGCATAGAGCTGTGGTCTTGCTGATTCCTGGTGCTCATTGGAATCCTTGACCTTTTGAGTTCAAGGGAGAGGGATGGGAGGTCAACATTGCCTAATTTTGGCCCAAGTAATGCATTTGAGAGATGTGCGATAGGAAGCCAGTTTTAACAAGCCTTAACCCGGCAAAATTTGTCATCTTAGGCATCGCTGACAGTGTTGACATAATGAGCAACATTTTTAGGGGATTATGTCACTGGACCGGTAAGGTGAGTTACATTTGGGGGAGGGGGGCAGATATCCAAGATTAGATGGTTGTATCAATGTGTTTGAATGTATTTGTGTGTGGGGTTTGGGGGGAAGGGTGCATTTGAACCAGTATGGGGGTCGTAGAACATTTGGTCGGTAGTCATTCATCTATGCTAGTTTCGAGAGCGTATGGAGGAGGCACCAGGGGCCCGTTGGTTCTGCTTGAGTGACATGCAAATCACCTCTCAGTCTTCTGTGCTGAGAGATGATGTCATTGTACCAACCGTTGCCATTAATAGCAGGAAACAGACAGGTTGTCGCTCAAGCTCCCCCAAACATTCAATAATTGTTTGGTGATTTATGCATGGATAAGAGGGACAGGTGTTCCACGTTGTCCGTTAGGGCAAAGCAGGTGGCTTTTTAAAATGCACAGTGTGTTGAAATAGGATGTGTCGCCCTTTTATAGACTCTAGATGATGTTCTGAGCATGGCTTTACACTTCTTATCTCCTCACTCTTTATTTGCCATGACTCATTTTATTGACTTGTTCACTTTAACTCCTCCATCCCACCTAGATCTGATTAACACAGTCACTTTTGTTTGGACCATTTCACTGTTTCCTGGCTGGGACGAAAAGATTTCATGGCTCCCTGGTTGACTGCTGTGTCTGCACGCTCCTAGGGTTACCATGTCCCAAATTCTCATGAAGCTCATCTGAGATTAAGGTCTTAACCCATCTGCTGGGGCTCACACTTTCTGGCAGCATTGCACAGCTCGATGAAGACTTAACTTTCTTACTCTGTATTAGTTGAACAGGGAAAGATGGAAACGTGGAATGGATTTACATTCGAGTTCAGCTTCATGCACAATGTGAACGATTATAGTCGTAATTGCATTTGAATGTGTGTGTGTTGTTGCCTACGCACCCAACACCCTAAAGCTATGAATCAAGGGCTTGGTCTGCACCTGTGACCACCCTCATTCTCTAAGCCTGACGCAGTTGTTCAGTTGAGGATATTAGGTCATTCAGGAAAAGGAGCTCCAGCAGACAAATGCCAAAACTGGAGCCACCCGCCTCTTAAAGAGACAGGATCCTTCATTAGGCCAACTGGCCTTTGCTCACTTGACTGCCATGTTCGTACATGCACTGACCTAGATTGGCATAATCTTGTTCATAGCATCTGAATCCTCTCTTTATTCGTTTTTGACAAATGATGTGTGACATCAGCATGTCCTTTGTTAGTACGAAAGGTTTTTACTTGAAATATGCCCTTTATTATTATAGGTTGCAGCTTCTTTGTTCAGTTCTTTGTCCTGCTTGAGAGATTTTGAGTTGTATCCCATACATAAAGACTGTTGTTCTTGTCTTTCTTTTATCACATACGTAGGGGGTAATTTTGTTCTTAATGTGTTTTTTTTCTCTGTTTCCTCAGGTGGTTTTGCAGCTTTCTCTTCCTGTTTTCCAGGCTTGTGTGAAGGCAAGCCAGTGGCCACTCTGCCCATGAGCTTGTCTCAGCCATGTTTGCCTGTGGCGAATGTTGGTCCCACACGAATCCTGCCCCATCTCTACCTAGGCTCACAAAAAGATGTGCTCAACAAGGTAACTAATATTTTGGAATGTTTAAATGTTTTATACAAAACAAAAGTAATGACGCTACATAATTCTTACCCTGGTTCTTTACACTCGCAGGATCTAATGGCTCAAAATGGCATCACATATGTATTAAATGCAAGCAACACTTGCCCAAAGCCAGAGTTCATCTCCGAAAGCCATTTCATGCGCATACCCGTCAATGACAACTACTGTGAAAAACTCCTGCCATGGCTAGACAAAACCAACGAGTTCATTGGTAAGAACCTGCTTGTGACAATAGAAGGTTGTTTTAACGCTTTACATGCATGAAAAATGAGCAGCATGCCCTGTTATGATATCAGGAAGAACAAATTTGATCCTCAGCACATATTTGCAGAAATTATTATGCTGAGGAGGTATTCGGTTGTCTTGCATGTTTTGTGTGTTCTCACGTGTTACCCTTCTCCCTTTCAGACAAAGCCAAGCTTTCCAACTGTCGAGTCATTGTCCATTGTTTAGCTGGCATCTCCAGGTCCGCCACCATCGCCATTGCTTATATCATGAAGACAATGGGCTTGTCATCAGACGACGCATACAGGTAAACTCACTCAGACACCCTGCAGCTTAAATTGCACGGCCTCAGAAAAGACAAGTTTTCTGCTACCTGTAATTTTATATCCATTTACTGCAACATGTAAAATGGATCACATAGAAACTAGTAAACAATACCTGTTGAAGCCTTCTGAAACACATAGTTTTGTTTAAGGCCTTTACAAGCTCACATGGTGAGTCTTTGTGTTCCTTATATGCGGATTTGTCCCAAGGGTAATCCTTCTTACTCTTCTTGTGTTTCCAGGTTTGTGAAGGACCGCAGACCTTCAATATCCCCCAACTTCAACTTCCTGGGTCAGCTGCTGGAGTTTGAGAAGGGTCTGAGGTTGCTAAAAGCTCTGTCCTCAGGTCAGGAGAAGTTGGAGCAGTTAAAGGAATTATCCGAACCTAGGGGAGAATCTTCAAGCGATCCCGAAAAGGGACGCCTGGAGGCGGACAAAGACCGCACAGAATTTGACGCTAAGCTACCTTCTCCAACCTCCCTCCAGCAGGGCTTTAATGGCTTGAATCTTTCGGCAGAGCGCATCCTGGACACCAACCGTCTCAAACGCTCTTTCTCGCTTGACATCAAATCTGTCTACGAGCCCAACCACTGTCCTCGCCTCGCACCTGTGCATACCGAAGATGTCCCCAAACTCTGCAAGCTGGACAGCCCAGAGGCTGGAGAAGCCAATGGAGTATGCCAATACTCGCCTCTTTCAGTCAGCCCTGGTTTAGCTGAATCTCCCGAGAGCAGCTCCAGACCTCGTTCACGGAGGAAAAGCAAGCACAATGGTAGCAGCGCTGGAAGTTCTCCTGTGCACTCGCACAGCCTAAACCTCGGACGCTCACTCCCTGCGCACAAAAGTCCCAGTCTTGATGACAATCTGAAGCCCTCCCTGCTGCTCAGCCTTCCCACTGTGGGCACCGGGCCCATGTGGACCAAGCATAGAGACACCGTTCAGGCCACAACGCCTGTTACGCCAACAGGCGAAGCCCCTTGGTTCTACAGTTCGGAGTCAATGAACAGTAATGGCGGTGGAGGAGGGGCTGTACACTTTCCTACGCTAGGCTGCAGCAGTCTCCCTGGGCCGTGTGAGGCTGTGCGTCTGCGGGAGAAGGTGGGGGAACCGCGGGACTCGAGGGGCAGCTGGCACGAGGATGCTCCCACTTCCTGTGCTTCCGACAAGCAGTTTAAGCGGCGCAGCTGTCAGATGGAGTTTGAAGAGGGGATATCAGAGACACGTTCAAGGGAAGAACTGGGAAAGATCAGCAAGCAGTCCAGCTTCTCTGGGAGCATGGAAATCATTGAAGTATCCTGACATCCCCTGCACAGCCCCTGAGGACTTTTACCGACAGTCAGCGGACAGGCGTCGCTCATGATCAAGGATGATCATGGCTTGTCGATAATGACTAGTTCTTTTTCGTTGTCTTTTTAAGCCAGTGGAACCGGACACAGATTGACTTTGCTTTTGACTTTCTACTGTTTTTTAAGCCATAGACATCCCCAGATGACAACGCGCTGAGACTCCAGTGGCAGAATCCCTCGTAGAAACAGACCCCCCTCCGAAATGATTGAGAATCAAGCATGGCTGTTAAGCTTACACTTGTTTCTTTTATTATGCCATTTTATGAAGTTACACCGCCACAGCACAAGGAGTCAGCATAGACTAAGCCTTGGTGGTACATGCTTTTCCTGGCTGAATGAAGGCCTCTTTGTGCAGTTCTCTTGTCCACCCTGGTCCTGTATCCTAGCATTCATGGAATCCTGGAGGAGGAACCAGGCATGTCATGAAGGAAACGCATTGTGGGCATATTCCCATGATGTTCTGTCACTCTTTTGTCACCCAGATTTCAGGGTCTTGTTCTTCCCTTCCTGCGCCCAAGTGGTGATGCTCGAACTGTTGCGCAAGCCCACGTTCCTCTCACCGAGCATGCTTCGAGGCTGCTGTTTTCCTTACAAACAAATAGTAAATGAACTATACACAGTGATTTCAATGGATGTTTAAAAACATTTTTTTCTTTTCTTAGTTACATTTTTAATTTATTCTACTGGTTCATTCTGGTAATGAGAAATAATATAAAAGATTGTGGAGTTTTTATTTTTCCTCTTTTTTTTAGTGTTTTCAGTGATATTTACGAAAATACACTTGCAAGACCTACAAGCAATATGTTTTCACTTATTGTCCTCCTTTTCGTTCATAAGAGAGTGCGGTTATTACCAGGAATTATCTGACGTTAAAATGCACTTTCTTTTGCTTTAAGTGGGATGTTTTTGGATGTTCTCATTAAAAGGGTACCACAACGCTTTACAAAAAAAAATCACGTGTAACCATTTATGTCCTGCGGTGTGCGTCACAAACTAAAGCATTTGGTATGGCTTTCATTTGTCTCTCCAGCCTGCTGGCTTGAATTATTAAAGACTTTAATCCAGCATGAATAATCTAGAGTCATCTAGAAGAATATGTATGATACCCCATCAATTTTCAAGAATTTGATTTTTTGTATTAACAAGCACACAAGACAAAATGAAGGGAAAAATGACAGGGACTATAAAGGGGTTTGTCTGTGTCCCCCATTTGTTCTGCATATTTATGATATTATTTATTGTTTGTTTGGGTCTGATTGCGGGAGGATGTATGATGGATGTTGTGAATGACCCTTCGCAGATGCTCATATAGACTTGCGTCTTGGAGAGGAGATAAGCCCCTAAACTTTATATCTACGACTGCGCACCCAAACACAACTAGATGCATTTTTAATTTTTTTAAACCTGACTGATGATCTGTTGATCAGCTAGTTTATATTAGATCATAAAACTTTATATGTACAACCAATAACTGATAAGAACAGAATCTGCTCTATGGTGACTCTGCTCATTCGGCTTGCTTTTTTTTTTTTCTCTCAGGGGAGCTTTTGATGACTCAATTACAAATCTGGGCTCTGAGCTTTTTCTTTCCTGTCCTTTTCACTCATTCTCTACACTTTCTCTCCCTTTTTCCTCTCCATTTCTCTCAGAATCTCTAGAACGCTCCAAAGTTTATATATAACACAGAAAGGGTGTGTGTGTGCAAATGTGAATGCCCTCTCCATGTGAGATAGTTCAGCAATTTATTTATGTCTGTATTTTTTTCAGTTAGCTTTTCTGAATGGCAAATCTTGTATTTTGTGCTGCTGTAATTGTTTTCCTTGTGTGAGACATTACCTGTATTTCCTTTTCCTTCCCTGTACTATATTTTTAAAGACATTGTTATCATTATTTAAAACATGTAATAAAAAGATGCAGGCTGTCCTTTTTTGCTGATAATGTTGAATAGTTGGCAACTAATTATTATTATTATTATTATTATTATATGTTGTGTGAATAGCATCGTATCAACAAAACTAATTGAGATAGGGAATTTTTTAAAGAAAAAATCTTGATACCTTAGGCTGCTTGACGCAAAATACCTCAGGTTCTTTGGAAAAGGCTTGTTCCTCCCCATGTACCCATTTTGTGATGATGATGAAACAAAATACAAACATTACAAAATATGAAAAAGTTTCGTGATTTCTTTTCCTTCGATTTTTGTATTAACATGATTTCCAACAGTTTTTATGAATGATCAACATTATCATTTATGCATATTGCAAATGGTTTTCTAACATTTTATTAACGTGTTTAAGAGTTTTGTACAATTTGGTGTTGAGGTAAGGTACATGAAGGCCTATATACTGTATATTGTAATACCTGTACAATCTTTATTTACTGTTTTTCCTTTTAGTCTTTATTTAGAAAATCTGTAGTTATATGTAAATATGTTCAGAGGTAAATTCACATACTGTACAGTATTAAATTAATATTAATATAATCTAAATATGAAATTAATTTGAATGGAATTTTTACATTTGATGTTTATTTTTCTAAACAAGACTAATTAATTTGAACAAAAATAAAATATTACGAATATATTCCTGTTTCCCTGACAGGTAACTCTCACTGGATATCCAAGGAAGATGAAGATGATAACGAATAACACAAGGTTTGTTGAAATAACTCAGAACTAACATAACAAGCAAGACAGAACACACAAACAATACCGGACATCTGAAGAGTGCACACAGAGGAACTGGTCCTATCATGCTTCCTTTTACAGTACAGTACTTATAGTGTACTTACAGTGTACTTACCTAGAAAGTAGGGTTGGGTATCGTTTGAATTTGAACGATTCTGATTCCGATTCCTTGTTTCGATTCCGGTTCCTAACGATTCTCGATTCCGATTCTTTTAAGAGGCAGGGTCAAAAAAGTTTAGCTAACCTTGCTAACCAACAGTCTTTCTGAAGGAAATAATCCTTTCTGAAGGAAATACTCCTGTCACAAATACTCCTTCTGTCACAAATTTTGCATTTTGCCGAGATTTCGTTATTTTTAGAAAAGTGAAGTCACACTGGACCGCTGACGTAAGCTACTAATGTTCGACTCGCGCGGTTATGCCAACACTTCCGGTAGACGCTTCTTCGTTGGTGTTGTTCAGCGGTTTCTTCTTCCGCTCGGCGGACTGTGAATATCGAAACTAGGAATCGAAATTTTAACTTTTGAACGATTCCGGGAAAAACGAAAAGTTAGTCTCGGTTCCAATCGATACTCGATTCTCGATACCCAACCCTACTAGAAAGTACTGGCTAATATAAGGTAAGTACATGGAACAGGGGTAGGGGTAGGTTCAGGGTTAATACTAGTTATTACCCAGTAATTACTAAAATAAGTACATTTACATGGGTAACTTGACTGTAAAAGGAAGCATTACCTGCTTTTTTACTTTTTCAAATTTGTTTAGTCTAATGTTGCTGTTTGAGCATTAAAAAGATCTGCAAGGTTACAAAGCTCAAAGTCCACTCCAAAAGGAAATATTTTATTTAACAGAATCCACTTTTCAAGAAGTACAACGAATGCCTCGTTTGGACTACAACACGATTTTTCAGTATCTTAAGAAGCCATAACGTGCCTCATTTAAATAAACCCCGCCCAAGGAATACGCAAAAGAAAGTTGGCGAGGCCTGTTTGAGCTGCGCTAGAGAAGATGAAGTGTTGTCTCAGTTTTTTCCACCCTGGAAAAAATTGGTCCTAAGGCTGACAAACTTAGAGAGGTTCAAATTGTGGTTAAAAAACTGTTCTGTTCCTGAAGACCTCATTTGTCTGTGCACTGCACATCTTACGGAGAACAGAAGACTTTAAGCACAAAAAGCTTCTCCTGAAAGACGTAACCATACCCATTTTGTTGGGACATCTGTTGTTTATGGATCTAAACTTGAAACTTGAAGTCTTATTATTTTTAGATATATATTTTCTATTAACCTGTTCCAATACGTTCTATATTGCTATGATGCAATGGAAGGGCAAAGCCTTGCCCGCTAACTAAAATTACACTAGTTATGTAGTGTTTTTAACTTTCTCTTGCTTTTGTAAGACTGTTCCCTGCCCCTCAGGAAAATTATCCAATTATTACTGTTTGTATTACCAGTTTTCCGACAAATATGATTAAATGGTGGATAACATCGTATCTATAAGAAAATTACCCCTAAAAAACACACCACTCTGAAACATCAGTGGCTTAATCTAAAAATGCATTCAGCCAGACTGGGTAGAGAGAGAACCTGTAACAATGTAAAATATGTGGAATTTTCTCTTTTTTTTTTTTTCAATTTTGACCAGTCATGCATGAAAACATTTTAGTACACCCCAAAAACAAAAGGGGGTAATAGGACCCCTTTAAATAGCCAGTGTTGGTAACAAAATAACATACAGCTCTGACAATAACAATCAGAGTCCAATGAAACTAATGAGTGGCGGGAAACAAAGACAAAGAAACACATTCTGAAAAACAAACTGAAAGTCCATGAAAACTACAACAAATTGAGCATAACTTTGACAGTAAACCCCCGCCGGGAAGGTGCAACCTCGCACCGTAACGGGTGATAACAAGAGACAGGGACAATGTGGGCTGAGGCGGAGACGGTGTGACGGCCCGCAAGTCTGTGGCGGAAGCAGAGTGAACCCGGTGGAGCCACAAGGTTGAGGGTCTCTGGTGGAGCCGAAGGTGGGATGAGCCAAGGCGGAGCTATCAAGTTGACAGGCTGAGATGGAGCGAAGTAATCAGAGGACTTGACATCACAGCAAGGCATCCCCAGAGATGGCAAATGGCTGCAAACATCCAGTAGAGGCAGGGTTGGAGGACTGGCTTAGCTCTGCGGTGATGGCGGCAGATGGAAACTTGATAGAATCAGTGGAAGTCATTCATAGACCATGCAGGTCATAGTGCTGCCTATAAACTGCAATGATGAAGGAAGTACCGGTGGGATAGGGTGAGAGTTGATACCTCCACATTGAAGTCAATCTGCCAGTCCTTTATGGCCAGTCCACCAGTATTCCTTCAGCCTCTGGTGTCGCGGGCTCACACCCCTGGTCAGACTCAACGTGGGGCTTCTCTTCTGGGTCGATGGTCAGCTCTGTCCTCTTGCTATAATGCTAGCATTGGGGGGCATTGACTAAGTAAAAAGAAATCGCTAGTTTATACCATGGTTAGTGCACTAACAAGACTCAAAATAGCCCCACACTAACACAGTAACATAATGAGGGTCCATACATGCAAAACGAAGCATTGAGAACTTTGTACAGACCGTTTAATAAGAAGATACTTTACGAAGATAGTTCACTTCGCGTATACAGACAGGAGCCATCTTAGAAAATATCGATAAAACTCTTTACATTCGATTATCATGAAAACAAATCTCAGTGAACGATTGACTAGGTACCGATGTTTTATTAGACCAAAGGTTCATTGTTCGCCGGAGTTCTCCTTTAATATAAATGTCTAGATGGAGCGCTGGGGAGCGGAGGCCTCAGCATGACGAACCTCTCCGGCGAGAGAAGGCTTGTCTTCACTCTATCCTAAAGACAGCCTAGCAAGGACACTCGGAGCAGAGGCCTCAGCATGACGACACTCTAGAGGGAGAGGAGGTCTATCTATGTTCTACCCCAAGGCTACATCCCAAGGGAAACAACAACTGATGAAATGGGACACTAGAAGCGGGATAGGCCATCGCCTTTCAGCTATGTCTGGCAACACTTCCTATGCAATTTGATAGAAGCTTACACTTCTAAGTGCGTATTTATCAAGGAGAAGCAGCATGCGAGAAAGTAGGAGGCGGATTTGCCCATCTTTCCTCACCAGAGCCAGTGGATAACTATAACACGGAAAGATAGCTGACTTCCGAATTTGCCCACTTGCCCACTTTCAGGTATGACTAACAACCATTCATGTGCAAATATATCACATGAATATCTTATATCTTCACACACACACACACTTAAACAAATGAATCCTCAAGACAAAGAGCTAATGAAGTCTAAGGGGGGCACCCTTTTATACTCCGGGGCGCTCCATGTGACATCATAAGGCTGCCATCTGTCAATCAATTGGCATTTTTCCACACATGCTTCAGACACCTCGTCTGGGGGGGGGGGGGGGGGGCGTTCCCATAGCACCAATGTTATGACACAGCGTTGAGTTCCCTCGAAAGGGAACAGCGTTTTCCAAAAATGAAATATTGTCAAATAAGGTTTGGGATGCAGGGAAAATACATGACAAATGCAACCAATTAATTGTACATAATATAAAATGGTTGTTTGTAATGATTTTTGGCAGCTTCTGTGATGTCCTCCTGTGAAAGAGGAGAAGGTGGTAGAGGTGGCATAAAAACTCTCATCACACGAAATGCCCATTCACAACAAGGATGATAACTAAAATGATAAAGATATAGTTCTAAAAATCCTTCTGTGGCGAGAAGGACGAGGCCGGGGCGTGAGAGAGCGGCACGAGGCCGGTGGCGTGAGTGTTAATGAACGACACCTGTGAGACACACTGAGGAGCGGAAGCAAAAAGGAGGAGCGACGACAGTGAAGATCGAGAGAGGAACAGGCCTGATTTTACATTGTGATTTGTTCCTGTTTTATGTGGCCAGCAGTCGTCCTTGAGGGGCTGCTGGCTTATACTTTCATTTTGTATTTGTTTATTTTATTATTAAGGTATTGAAAGTTCGCCGGTTGCGAAGAACCCCATTACATTGGAGGCGAAACCCGGGAAGAAGGAGGCGGGAACCGGCCTCAAAGAGAGGCGAAACTCTGATGCTTTTTTGGTAACAGCCACTAGATGGCGCTTCGATAGCGCGGCAGCCATATCGGGGTGAAAATTCCAACTGGAGTTACTGGACAACAGCACAGATAACAGTTTTTTAAGGTAGTTTTTTCTTGCATTAGTGAGTATACCCATTGTATGCAACTTAACACTTTTACTACTATTATTAGTTACCAACTCCACTAGGCCTGAAATATATTTTGGATGTTTTAATCCCCTGGATCAT